AAATCGTTGATTTTCATTGGTTTTTTCGATGTTTTTTGTGTTCTGGCTTTTTCGGCTTCCGGACGCTCCAAGACGGCCCAAGAGGCCCCCAAGACCGCTCCAAGACGGCCCACGAGGCTCCCAAGACGGCCCCGGAACGGCCCAGGAGGGCCCCCAAGACGGCCCAAGTGCCGCCCAAGACGGACCAAGAGGCCCCAAGACGGGCCCAAGAGGGGCTCAAGAGGGGAACCGAGAACTGAAAAATCGAGCCCTCCGCCCCAGAAGGCGCCCAGGAGGCCCCAAAAAGGCCCCAAGAGGCCCCCAAGAGGCCCCCAAGACGCCCCAAGAGGCGCCCAAGAGGCCCAAAAGAGGCCCCAAGAGGCCCCAAAACGGCCCCCAAAACTCGGCTAGCCCACAACGGTGCCACAATATGGGCCGGCGGAATGAGCGAAGCGATTAATAAATGTATGCATGAACTCATCGTTGTTTTTAGTACTAAATCCCTGCATCTTTAATGCATGGTCCGCACGCGGAGCATGTATTAAAAACGGCACTGTACGTAGGCAGTACGAAACTCGGCTCATGTGGAAGAATTCCTTCGGCAAAGGCAGGAAAGAGACACAGGTAGGACTGGGGGGGGGGGACGTTTTGTTTTGGCAGGAGAAGCGCGGAGCGGACCTGCCAGAGACACGCGTGGACTGCGGACCAAGCCTCCGCTGGCGGGCACAACACAGCTCGTGAGACTGGCACGAGACAAGGTGGGCAGCGAGGGTGCCAAACGTCTGTATGGGATGAGGGCGAGGGGCGAGGATGGAGGGGCCCAGGGGCACACAAATAAATACACACCAATCCCAAGATTCCCACATGTTTCCACATTTTTGGGAGTTGCGTCTTCCCGCCCGCTTCCCATATTTTCCAATCTTTTCTGGGGAGTCGACGAGGAGTGCCCCGGAAAACAACAAGGCACATGGTCGAGGGCCGTGGCAGCGCAGCTGCCCCGAAACACGTCGGGCCCGCGGCATCAGGGACATCGTGCGTGGTATCCCCGATGGAACGGCCCAAGCGGCCACAGCATCAAATCCAGCACAGCATTGTGCAAGAGGGAGGAGGAGGAGGAGGAGGAGGAGGAGGAGGAGGAGGAGGAGGAGGAGGAGGAGGAGGAGGCAACGGAGAGAAGGCAACCTAGGTGAAAGCCGGGTCGACGGCCCAACCGGCCCAAGTCATCTTGGACAGTTGCACGTGATGCGACCTGGCCAGACATGTGCGCGGCCGCTCCGTGGCGGATTACCCGATGCAGTCTCGGAGCCCTCGCTCAGCAACTCCCGGATCAAATCAGCGTCGATGCCATTGGCCTCGAAGACTGCTGCCCAACGGCTGCTTGACGCGGCCGCCTCCGGGTCTGTGCGGAGAGCGCCATCGTCAAGGCTGACCTCGCCCAGGGGCGAGACGGGTCTGTGCGGAGAGCGCCATCGTTAAGGCTGACCTCGCCCAGGGGCGAGACGGCACGAGACGAGATAGACGGCGACTGGCTTTGCGCTTGGCGTGCGCCTTGGTCGGCTCCCCAGCTGTCCCCAAGTCTCTGGCCACAGCGAGCTCTTCCGCGCCCTGCTAGCGAGCAAGCTCCACCGCGTGGTCGTGCAACTGGACTGGAGCGGAGGATAGGAAGGGAGGGGAGGGAGGCAGGGAGAGGAACGGGAGTGCCGGCGATGGGAGGAAGGGGAGAGGCATAGGACTGGGAGAGAGGAGAGGTAGGAGGGGGAGAGGGAAGGGGGAGGGAGAGGGGGAGAGGAGGGGGGGCACGTAGAGGCGAGAAGAGGAGAGATGAGAAGGATGGACGGACGGGGGGCTAGAGACGGGGGGCTAGAGATGGGAGGGGAGGGAAGGAACAACTCGACAGCATCGGCCGACACTGCAGTTTGCGCAAGCACAGGAGAGCGCGGGAGCGCGCTACTGACCAGGCCAGCTGCATTCGTGGCGATGACAACTCCTCCTCCTCCTCCTCCTCCTCCTCCTCCTCCTCCTCCTCCTCCTCCCCCTCCTCCTCCTACTTCTCATCCCGTTCACCCTTCTGTTCCTCGACCTCCTCCTCTTACACCACTTCCTCTTCCTGCTCTTCCGCCTTCTCTGCCTCCTCCTGCGGCAGCGGCCCCGGGGCTCCCGAGTCCGCGGGGAGCCGCTGCCCCGGGGCTTTCGGCGAGCGGCGATCGCCGGCTCGCCGCGCGCCGCGCTGCCGCCGCCGGCCGCCAGCGCAGCCGCCGGGCCGCAGCCGCCACGCCCGCCGCGCTGGGGGCCGCCGCGCTGCCTGGCGCCCTCGCCGCAGCAGCCCGGCGAGCCGCCGCCCCGGCCGCCCCGGGAGGCGCCCCGGAGCCTGCTGCGCCCCGCGCGCGCCGCCGCCGCTGTCACCGCGCGCCGGCCGGGCGCCCGGCGTCCCGCTGCCGCGCGCGCCGCCGCTGCCTTCGCGAGCCGCCCGGCGCGCTCTCGCGCCCCGCTCGCTGCCCGCCTGCGCGCCCCTCCCCGCCGCCGCCGCCCGGCGCGCCCGGCCCGCTGCCGCCACGCGGCCGCCGCGCCGCGGCGCCGGCGCCGCCGCCCCAGCGCACCTCCGCCAGCGCCGCGCCGCGCGCCTTCAGCCAGTCCAGCGCCCCCAGAGCCCAGCCCGGGGGGCCAGCCTCGGGCGGGCAGTGCGTCGGCCAGCCGCTCAGCGTCACAGGGGGCGCGGCCGGGCGCGCCGCCCGGGGTTGCGCGCGCGGCCGAGGTGTTGTGCGCCTCGGCGTTAGCCCGCTGCAGCGCGGCGGCCAGGCTCTGGCGCGCTGCCGAGAGCTCGGCAGCGTCGCCGGCCGTCCAGGTGCGCAGGAGGTCATGCGTCTCGCGCCCTGGCCTGCCCAGCGGGGTAGCGGCGGTGTTTGCGCTCCTCCGCTGCCGCCGCCGCGGCCCCGTCGCGCCAAGCCTGGCCCCGCCCCGCCGGCGTCGCGGCTCCGGCGGCCGCGTCCGCCACCGCGACGTCCACGCACATGGTGCCCGCCACCGGGTCCACGTTGGGCACGCCCAGCCGCGCCGCCTCCAGGCGGCCATCCTGGAGGGCCCTGTCCCAGAAGGGACGAGCTGCTCGGTGCCCACGCCCCTCGCTCCGGGCCCCTTGAGCCAGCCTGCTAGCCAATCGCAGATGGCGTTGTGGCGCGCGATCGCGCCCGCGCCGGCGTGGCAGCCCAGCGGGTGAGTCGGGCCCCGAGCGAGGTCCGCTCCGCAGAGTTGCCCATCGGCTCAACGGCGCTGGCACAGGCGTCGGCGGGCCTCGGGAGGCGGAGGCGCAGCGCCAGAGGCAGTGCTCGTCCGCCAGGCGGTGGTCGTCCTGCGTCGGCGGTAGGAGCCAGCCGCCGAGCGCAGCTGGGCAGCTTGCTCTGATGGCAGCGCCGCCAGGAGCCGCTTCCGGCCCACGTCCCGTTCGTGGCGCGCGAGCTCCTCCTGCGACTTCAGCTTGGGCTCCGCCGCGGCCCAGCCACTCGTCAGCGCCGAGCCGGAGCGCGTTGCCCGCCTGCTCGGCCGCGTCCTAGAGGTCGGGGCAGCTCGAGGCGAAGGCGCCCGAGCTGGCCTCGCCCAGCTCCCGCCGGACGTCCGCCAGGCAGCCGAGCCAGGAGCCGGCGAAGGCGGCGAGCCTGCGCTGGGCCATGCTGTGCACGCCCAGCCCCCCCTCCGTCAGGGTGCTCCCGCGCGTCTGGCGGCAGTGGTCGCCCGAGCAGGCCTTCTAGGTGCCCCACCAATTGTTGTCGTAGTCCCCAGCATCATTCCTCGCTGAGGAGAGGTGCGCCCGCGCGTGGTGCAGCGCCGCCCCGTTCGCGAACGTCCTGACGAAGACCACCTCGTCCTGCGCCTCGAGCCGGTGCGCCCGCAAACCGCGCAGCTTCCCGAGGTAGGCGGTCAGGTGCTCGGTCGGCGCCGCGGGGGCCGCCGTCGGCGTGAAGCTTACCCTCGCTGGGTCGGCGTTGAGCCCTTCTGCAGCCTCTCCGCCGCGCACGAACGGCAGGAGCGCCCCGAGGCACTACATTTGCGGCACGACCTTACCGGCCAGGCACGCCGGGAGCTGCAGGCCCCAAGGGTTCCAAACCTGCGTCTTCGCCGCGTTTACCCGGAGGCCCACTCGGCCCAAGGCGGGTGGGGCGGCGGCGAACGCTGCCTCCAACGCCGCCGGCGTAGCCTGGAGGTAGCTGACGCCCAAGTAGGCCCGCAGGCGCGCCTCGGGGTCGACGGCGGCCGCCGCCTCGACGGCGAGGTACACATCCGCCACGGCGATGGCGACGAAGGCGGGGGACAGCGGGCAGCCTTGGTCGAGGCCGCGCTCCGCGCGCACTGGCTCGACCCCCCCTCCCTGCAGGTGCACGCCGTGGGCCGTGGCGCCTCCATACCACGCGGCCGCCACTCCAGCCAGCGCAGGGAGCTTCCCCGCCACCGCCTGCAGCATGGCGTCCCGGTCGACCTCTTAAAGCGCTCGACACGTCCAGCTTTAGCAGAGCACTGCCCGGCGACTTTTCCACGGCGCCGGCGACCACCCGCTGCATGATCTCAGTGCCGTTCTTCCGGCCCGCACCGAACTACCGAGGCCCCACCGCCGCGGCGACGTCGTTCTTGCGAGCGTCGGTGGCAGCCTTGCCCGCCATGCGCTGGAGGGTCTCGCCACACGCCAGTGGGCGGATGCCCGCGGGCGGCTTGCGCAACGGCAGAAGCCTTCCCCCCAGCATGGTCCGGGCCGCTCGCTCCGGCCCCTGGCCGCGCAGGATCAGCTCCAAACCGCGCGCGGCGACCTGCGGCCCATCCGGACGCCCGCGGAGCGCCGCCCAGTGCTCGAATTCCGCGTTCCCGTCTGGCCCGGCCCAGAGTGCCTCGGGCACTGGTTCAGGGCCCCAGCAGTCTTGGTCGCCGCCTCCCCCTCCCAGATCGTCGGAGCCACCTGGGGCGCGCGAGGGGCCGCGGGGGCCGGCCTCCTCCTCCTCCTCCTCCTCCTCCTCCTCCTCCTCCTCCTCCTCCTCCTCCTCCTCCTCCTCCTGTTGCCCTGTTCCACCGGGCCCGGGAAAGCCAACGCTCAGACCAGCATCGACACGGGCCCTTTGTCCGTCGCGTTCGCGATGATGCGCACCCTGACGGCGCGCTGACCAGAAGGCGGACTCTCGCCATCGCTCGGACGTCAATTCCCCGTGCATGTTTCGGTTTCGCGCGTGTATTTTTCCACGAGATGACCCAAAAGGCTCCTCGAGGATCCTCGCCAAGAGAGATGTACATGTCCGAGCGATGCCGAGGACTTGCATGGAGGGCCGGCGCTGCGACCCGTACAGTGGAGGCCAGTCCACAAGAAGCCTTCCACAAGAAACCAAACCCTGGAACCCCAGGACGTCCATTGTTTTGTGGTGTGTGAACGTCACGCTTTCCTTAGCAAAACCATCGAAACCCAGGAAATCTGGGGCACCCTGAAGGCAAGCAGGGTGTTTCTGGGCATGGGTCTCCACTGTAGTTGTGTGGTCAAGGCCATGTGCCCGGAGCAATGAGTAAGGACGCGTGAACCACGGGAAGTCGCACGACGAGGAGGAGGAGGAGGAGGAGGAGGAGGAGGAGGAGGAGGAGGACGGCGACGACGACGACGAGGATGAGGGGTAGGCAGCGGTGAGGTCAGTACCGTATTGAGACCCAAAGCCTTTGGATATTCAATGGGGTGCCCTTCTCAACTCAAAACCTCGGCAGCCCACAACTGAGGGGCGCCGAGGAAAAGGACGACGACGAGTGGAAAGGGATGGATCGGGGGAGGAGGGAGGACGAGGGAGGAGGAAGGGAGAGAGGAGGGATGAGGGAGGAGGGAGGAGAGATGAGCGAGAAGGGATGCGCAGGGAGAAGGAGGAGGAGGAGGAGGAGGAGGAGGAGGAGGCGGAGGAGGAGGAGGAGGAGGAGGAGGAGGAGGAGGAGGCGGAGGCGGAGGAGGAGGAGGAGTTTCGCCCCAGAGGCTGTCTACTCCTGGCACAGCACCCGTCGCAGGCACCCACACCGCCCTGCCGAGAGGCGACACCGGCGGCCACGCAGCACGCAGCACGCGGGGCGGCCGGTCCCGGCCACCTCCGCCAGGAAGGGCACCTCCCGGGCGGCCCTCGGTGCCCCCGCCCTCCGCGAGGGCATTTCCCCCGCCGCACCCTGCCCCTACCCCCCACGGTTTCGAAGGGGGAAGGGTGGGGTTCACTTCGTTCGCGAGCTCCCGAGCGAAGTGACCCCCCCCCCCTCCCCCCCAGAAATCGTGGGGGGTAGGGGGTGGGGGTAGGGTTCCCATGCGGCCCCCTATCTCCTGGCCTCCCCGCGGCTCTCTGCGGCGGAGGTGCCGAAAGCCCGCGGTGGCGCAGAGGCCGCAGGCACCGCAGAGACTCATCGGGTGCCGACTCTGGTGCACCACAAAGCGTGTGCCTCCGGTGCCAGCTCGAGTCCGAGGCGCGCCGATCGCCTCCCCAGACCACGCATGATGAGCCTGCCCGTGCCCCCAGAGAGGCCCGACGAAGCCATCGGGATCCTCGGACGCCGCGCCTGGACGCACCACGTGGCAAGGAAGCCCTCCAGATAGGCGCCGCACGCCAACTGCCTCCCACGAGCCTGCTGCCACACATAGAGCCCCCCTGGCACAGAAAGTGACTACCTACCAGACCACCCCAACCCAACCCGAAGGCCCGAATTCGACCCGAATTTCGGGTTGGGGGGGGTACGGATCCCATGTGTTTTTTCGATGTTCCCCGACCCCCCCCACTGGAAATCGAGGATAAATTTGGGCCTTCGGGTTGGGTTGGGGTGGTTTGGTGGGTGGTGAGAAAGGACGAGCGGAACTCGAGGTGGGAGATCTCCGGGCGACCACGGGGAAACACGCGCGCGTTCCCCTCCCGCGCCGCCCTCTCGCCGTCGGCCTCCGTGGACAACCCCGGCGCCCGCCGAGCCCCGCCCCAGACCAAGGCGGCCGCAGAGCTCCCGAGGCCGGCATTCGTTCCGGGCGCCACTTCCCCGTGCACTGCTCGGTGGCGTGCGTGCTCTCTTGCCAGGTGATCCAGGGGGGTCCTCGAGGGTCCTCGCCGGGGAAAACACGCACGAGTCCGCGCGATGCCGAGCCCATGTCCACTCCGCCGCCACACAGCCGGCAGCGGTGGTCATTCGCCTGCTGACAGTGGTCAGACTTCGATCAAACCAAAAAAAAACCTAACCCTTTGGGAGGGGACATCGGCTAGGAGGGCCAAGAACATTAGGGACAAGGGGTCTTGGATGCAGATGTATCGAATCACACTGCCCAGATTTATTCCCTAATGCCAAGACGGAGACCCCAGTGAGGCCGCGTCTTCGTCGTGCTACTCGGGTGAGGGGTTCTGTTATCCTCGATGAGACTTCTGGGGGTCGGAGTCAGCGAAGGGCAGCCTAAGGAACATATGTTTTCGGATAGGAAAAACTGGCCTGGGCGAAGAACTTCCAAAATAATTGCCGAGGAAACGCAGCGCAAGGCATAGTTTTGAGACATACGCCCCGAACAAGGATAACTCAAGGAATTGATCCTGACCCCCCAAAAGCCAAACCCCCTGAGCAGGCGGAAGAAATGCTGCCCGCGGGAATGAAGATGCCACGGCTCGACTGGAGCCTCTCGAGGTCCTATGCAGCATGCGGAAAGCCCACTGAAGTTTGATCCTGCTTGGCCCCCTAGACCTCAAGACAAATTTGACCCCCTGCCATGTGCTCTGGGTCGCATCTTTCGCATCCCGAGCCTGCCCCAGGCGAAGGCCCACGGGGCATTCACGACGTAGAAATATCCCACCGTGCACTCCAGGGCCAACATTAGGTCGGGCCTGTCCCCCTACACGGGGATTGTGGACGACACCCAAAAAATACGTTAAAATTATCCTGGCGAAGGTCCCAACCATATGCATTTGTGGGTCCCAAAATTGTGAATATCTGCTTCGGTGAAGCTCCCTATGGGGCCACGAAGCGCTGTACTGGGCGGGGGGGAACGCTGTACTGTGGGTGGTGTGCCGAATTAGGTTTCTGGGACGCATGCGGACGGTCCCACTGAGGGCTTCGGTGGAGCTCCCTATGGGGCCACGAAGCGCTCTACTGAGTGAAAATGCCAAATTGGGTTTCCGGGACGCATGCGGACGGTCCCACTAAGGGCTTCGGTGGAGCTCCCTATGGGGCCGCGAAACGCTGCACTGCGCGGGCGAAAATGCTAAAATACATTTCCCCGGCGCATGCGGACGGTGGCACTGGGCCCTTGGGTGGAGCCCCCTATGGGGCCACGAAGCGCTGCACTGGATGGATGAAAATGCCAAATTGGGCTTCCGGGACGCATGCGGACGGGGGCACTGGGACCTTCGGTGGGGCTCCCTATGGGGCCACGAAACGCTGTGATTGGGTGTGCGGGACGCATGCGGACGGTAGCGCTGGGACCTTCGGTGGGGCTCCCTATGGGGCCACGAAGCGCTGTGCCGGGCGTGCGGGACGCATGCGGACGGTAGCACTGGGACCTTCGGTGGGGCTCCCTATGGGGCCACGAAGCGCTGTACTGGGTGGGTGAAATGCAAGGAGGAAGGGGAGGAGGGCCATGAAACGCTGTACTGGGTGTGCGGGACGCATGCGGACGGTAGCGCTGGGACCTTCGGTGAGGCCTCCTGTGGGGCCACGAAACGCTGTACTGGGCGTGCGGGACGCATGCGGACGGTAGCACTGGGACCTTCGGTGGGGCTCCCAATGGGGCCACGAAACGCTGTACTGGGTGGGTGAAACGCAGGGAGGAGGGAGGAGGAGGAGGGCCACGAAACGCTGTACTGGGTGTGCGGGACGCATGCGGACGGTAGCGCTGGGACCTTCGGTGGGGCTCCCTATGGGGCCACGAAACGTTGTACCGGGCGTGCGGGACGCATGCGGACGGTAGCACTGGGACCTTTGGTGGGACTCCCTATGGGGCCACGACACGTTGTTCTGGATGGGTGAAGCGCAGGGAGGAGGGGGAGGAGGGCCACGA